AGAGAGAGAGAGGTATGTTGTGGGCTGGTGTTCCACCATGTGGATCTGGAGAATCAAAACGCAAGTAGTCAGGCTTGGCTGCAAATGCCTTTATCCCCTCAGCCATCTTGCTGGTCTGTAACTGCAAACTTTTAAGAGCAAAGACCAGAAATGATATAAATTGTTAATCTATGCCTTAGACTAATGACATTAGTTTTGTAAAAACACATTTTCTATTGCTAATGGAAAGATAATTTAGTCTTTTTAAAACATAACTGATCTAAGCATGGCTCTGCTTTGATTTTGATTACAATTGGGATGTACAGAGCACATGCCTCAATCCCAAGCCACACTCTGTTTGTACCTTTGTTTACAGGTTTATGCACTGAAAACATGGGAATATTAGTAAATTCTCTTTTGTGTGAGTGATTCCATAAATGGAGAAAGTATTCTTGCCACATTTAAAATTGTACACACTGGGGCAGAGAGATGGCTCAGCAGTTAAGAGCACTGGAAGCTCTTGCAGAAGTCCTGGATTTGAATCCCAGCACCCACATGGTGGCTAACAACCATCTACAACTCCAGTTCTAGGGGATCTGACACCCTTTTCTCACCTCCGCAGGCACCACATGACACAGGTACACTTACACACATGCAAGCAATAACTCATACACAAAAACAAAAATAATAAAGAAAATATTTTTAATTGTATGATACTAGGGCTTGAAAGATGGCTCCATGGTCAAGAAAGAACATTTGTTGCTCTTGCAAGAGGACCCAGATTTGGTTCCCAGAACTCACATGCCAGCTAACAACTATCAGTAGCTCCAGTTCCAGGGGATCAATCTCCCTCTGTCCTCCATGGGCAATACACACACATGATGTACTTACATGCATGCAAGCAAAACAGTCATATGCATGAAATTTTTTAAAATTAAAATTCACATACTAAATTACTGATACTCTTACCCATAAAGAGCTTCTAATCAAACTTCCATAAGAACTGACTTGTATTGCTTACTAGGTGGCTCAGTGGGTTAAAGGCACTTGCACTGGGAAAATATATTTGCTGTGCAAGCCTGAAAATCTGAATTAGATCCTGAAACCCATATAAAGATGGGAAGAGAGGGGACTGAAGAGAGGGCTCAGCTATTAAGAGGACTGACTACTCGTTCAGAAGGTCAAGATTCTATTCCCAGCACCCACATGGTGACTTACAACTATCTGTAACTCCAGTTCCAGAGGATCCACTGCCCTCTTCTGGCCTCCCCAGGCATTGCATGCACATAGTACACATACACATTTAGGCAGAACACTCATACACATAAAATAAAAATTAATAAATGAATAAAGAAATTTATGATGGCTGCTGGGATGGGGAGAGTCTATCTCTTTTAAGGATGTGGCTCTTAGTGAGTCAACCAGGTTCCAGTGAATGGATCAATACAGAAGAGCATTTGGAGAAATAATTTCGACTCTATAGGCCATAGATAGATAGATAGATAGATAGATAGATAGATAGATAGATAGAATAGAGTATTTGAAATTGTGTAGAGAGTATAAAGGAGGTGCAGATATGGGAGGGGATCTAAATACAATCAAAATATATTGTATGAAATTTGTAAAAATTTCAACAAAAAAGGAAAAAAATGTTTTTAAGATGGGAAGAGAGAATTGACTCCATGGTGTTGTCCTCTGACCTCCACATGCACAGTGCCATTTACCCATACATGTCATATACACAAACACTGATAATAATAACAAATAAGATTAAGTTTTTAGAAAACAATTGATTGTTTTCAGACTGAGGGTGTTATAGCTCAGTGATGAGCTTAGCATTTGTGGGGCACTGGGTTCTGTCTCCAAGAACAGAGAGATCTGGATTTTTACATTTTTATTACATTTATTCATTTTTTGTGTGCATGCTTTTGTGTCTATACACACACATGTCATGATCCTGGATGTCAGAGGACAATTTGCTGTACTTAATACCCCCCCATGTAGGTCCTGGGGATCAAACTCAGGGTATCAGTCTTGGCAGTAAGCACCTATATCTGCTGAGTCATCTCACCATCCCCGAGAGATTTGTTTACTACTTAGAATTTAAATATATATATAATTTATTTATTTTTACTCTATGTGTATGAGTGTGTTGCCTGCATGTATGTAAGTGTGCCTGTGTCGTGTAATGCCCACAGAGGTTAGAAGAAGGCATCAGATCTCCTGGAACTAGAGTTTTGGACAGTTTTAGCTGCCATGTGAGTGCTGGGAACTGAACCTGGGTCCTCTGCAAAAGCAGTCAGTGCTCTTAACTGGTGATCCATCTCTCCAGACCCTCTGCTCAGAATTTTATATATCTGATATTTGGAACAATTTCCCAGACTGTTGTTTCTCTGGTTCAATACATTTAAAGAGTTGTTTCCCTCCACAACCCATATCCTTTTATGCCTAGGCACATATGTTCTAGAATGTTACCTCTAACCCCGTACCTTGACGTCAAGGGAGCTAGCACAGTAGACAATGGAACATTTCTTCTAGCCATTACTGGAATCCCAGCAATGACTCTATGCATAAGCATGACAGTGGGTAGACTGAACACATCCCTTTAACCCCAAACCAAATATGCTCCTAGTTCAACTTTCTCGTGTGGATGTCCAAATGCTGGCATCCATTTTAATACCACCTGACCCAGGAGAGGAGGGACAGTCAGAGTGGAGAAGGAAGGCAACCTGGCTGGTTATGCTTAGAACATCTCACTTTTAGATATTACCAGTCACTGAACCATGCAAACACATGGTCATTCCCAGAATCATAACAGGATCTGCTCATGGGAGAGGCCCTGAGACTGCAGCTCCAACCTCTTCAAGGTAAATTCACCTCTGAAAAGGTTGGTGGACTTGTTTTCTGGGGCTGCAGTAAAGATACAGTTGTATAGTGTGGTGCCAGAATTCCAAAATAGAAAATAACGGGGTGGGGGGGCGGGGGGACGCAGACAAAGAAGAGCTGAGGAGGAAAGGAAAAGAAAGCGGGAGGAGGAACGAGATAACGTGGAGTCGTAAGGCAGCGTCTCAAAGTTTTTTCACATGCTTCACACACAGCAGAGTCTGGGCCCCCTCCCTTTGTATCTAGACAAGCCCTGCTTTGACCAAAAACCCCAAATGGTGCTATGTGACTTCCAAGGTGAGGCCAGAAAAAGTGCAGCCCCCACCATAGTTGCATAGGCTTAAATGAGACCATCCTCCATAGGCTCCAAGGATTTGAACACTTTCTCCCAAGTTGGTGGCATGGTTTGGGAAGGTTTAGGAGGTGTGGCCTTGATGGAGGAAGCACATCACTGGGGGTGGACTTTGAGAGTTCATAGCCCTGACCCATTCTCTAGTTTGTCTCTCTCTGCTTCCTATGCCCTCTGGAAGACAGGAGCCCTCAGCTTTCTCTTCCAGCTGCCTCCTGCCATGCCTCCCCACCATGATGGACTCCTATCACTCTGGAACCATAAGCCAAGTAAACTCTTCCTTCTATAAGTTGCCTTGGTCATGGTGTTTTGAATAGTAACAGAAAAGTAACTAACACCATGTTCATAGAAAACTTGGGGAGAAGGACAGGGATTAATGCCCTGGAAGAAGTCCAACCACCCTGAGACAGCAACACTAGAGAGGGGACTCTGACTGGCAGCTCCAGATAAGCCCCAACTGATAGGGCAACTGAGTACCCTGCCAGCCCAGTAACCTCTCACACAAGTAGGATCACATGAAAGAGCCTATGAGAAAAGTCCCACATGCCACGTGGATTCTTTCTCAAATTCCTGAGGCACTGAATCATGAGAGAGAGAAAAAAATGATCATTTTAAACTGCTAAGTTTGGGAAAGTTTTGCTTGTAGCAGTAAATAGTAGAAGGTTGGGGGACAGAAAGGGTAAAAAACAGGAGAGGGAAGAGAAGTCATGCCTTGAGGGAGGGCGTGACAACCAAAGGAAGGTGCAGAGTAAGAGCGAGCTGGGCCACACATGTCTGTGACTGCAGCGCAGCCAAACTTGATATCTCTTTCCAACAACTTCATGTCTTAAGAGGCTCTGAAGAGAGACTGGAACCTACTTGCTATGAAAGCTGCTGCTGTTGCTCCATTTCCCCTTCCTTAAAAAGGGCTAGCTGCCAGGCATGGTAGACATGCCTGTAATTCCAGTACTCAGAAGGCAGAGGCAGGAGAATTGCTGTGACTTCAAGACCAGCTGGCACTACTTTGACTCATAAAAGCAAATATAGAAATAAACAAATTAAAGGGTTGGTTGGTGTGAGCACAGTGGGACATATCTGGAGTCCCACTGCTCAGGGAAGAGGCTGAGGCAGAAGGATTATGAGTTCCAGGTCAGCCTGTGCTACAAAGAGGTACCCTGTCTCTAAAAAAACTTTTTTCGAAGGATTATGAGTTCCAGGTCAGCCTGTGCTACAAAGAGGTACCCTGTCTCAAAAAAAACTTTTTTCTGGGGGCTGGAGAGATGGCTCAAGTGGTTAAGAGCACTGCCTGCTCTTGCAGAGGACCTGGGCTCGATTCCCAGCACCCACATGGCGGCTACGAGCCATCCTTAACTCCAGTTCCAGGGGAATCCGAAGCCCTCTTCTGACCTCCTAGGCATTGCACGACACAGGTGCACTCACTTACATGCAGGTAATACACTCATACACATAAAATAAAAATAAT